AAACGTGTATAATATATATATATATATATATATATATATATAATTTTAATTAACCAAGATGCAATAAAAATCTCACCGGTCACGGATTGCTTCCCGCGCGTTATTATATATAAAAAAAAGTATGCAATTAGAATAATATTTGGTTTAATGAAATTATCGATCCATGCATTTAATTAAGCGCGTATTTTAATTTAAATATAAATTGTGCAGTTAATGTTTTCAATTCTCATTTAATTAACGTGTACTTTAATTTAATTATAAATCATATATGCATTGAATGTTATCAATTCTCGTAAAAGTTTCAATCCATAACTTCATATTCAACGGAAGTTTTGATTAAAATGTCATCCAACTCAATATAAAATAAAAATAGCTAAAAAATTTAACACATCATTCGATGAAGAGTAAAACACTTAATATTTCTAATGAAACTAATATCAAATAGTATATCATATTGTAATAAAATTTATCACTTTATAATTTAATAATAATCAATTTAATATATATATATATATATATATGTAATTGTTTTGAACAATTCAAAATTGGGCCCTACGACTGATCTCTTATTATCCTTGGGGTGCCCTGGTGTATGGTTCACGTTTCTACCCTATCTTGACGGCAATGTAACTATTGGAATTTGGAAAGGACTTTTTGAGTCGACCATTCACGTTGCTTCGCAACTTTAGGATTTATGAAGGACTTGCATTATTAGTACGTGTCAATTGATGCAACACTTAAAAAGACCAAGTGAAAATGGAAGTTGGATTATATAGTGTGGACGAAACAGAAAGGAAACTCAATATCTACCCATAAAAGTATTGTGTATGATTGAGTAAATCAAATCACACAGTTTAACAACCAATGTCACATAAAAGTATTGTGTATGATTGAGTAAAACTCAATACTCCTTAGTAGCCTCGTCATCTTGTCACTCACGTCTAACAACCAATGTGTGGGAAATAGTTTTACCTAAGGCCTTCAATATGCACCAAAATGTTCCAGTATGGAATCCCTTCTAAGAAGACCTAGCAGCTATTTCAATCTAGAATATTCAATGAGTGTAACTTAACCCGCAAGCTTGGGAGTCTCCTACTATATAATTCAAGTCCATGTTTGAGATCAAAATCCCTTATCTCTTGCCCCAAATATGCAAGTGACATTATACACTTATTATTCTTAAATATTATTTCAAATCACAACATTTTCTCTTGCCCCAAATATTCAATTTACATTATACACTTATTATTCTTAAATAGTATTGCAAATCACAACATTTATGATTGTTTTAAGTACATATTGTTGATACTATACAATCCCGCAAATTGTAGCGTCTTTGTAGCCTATATATATCATGAAACATCTCCAAAATGTCAAAACACATTACCAACCATAAAATTGTTGATCTACCATTGAATGCAACATCTTCACAATACACATAGCAAAGTCTCATTCAAATACCAAAACACAATATTATGTTGAAGTTTTGACAACTCGGACGATATAATATGAATCAGTCAAGATATCGACGATAATAAACTCATCCCAATGGAAGGCATGAACACCTAGTGATAGATCCAGGAATTTTAAGTAGTTGGGACAATATTTATATACAAATTTTGTAGTAATAAACTTATAATTTCACATTTTTAAAATAAAAATATACATTTTAATTGTTCTATACAAGATTTCAAATTCTAAAAATATTGAATAATTTTTTCATTTTTCAACATCTTCAAAATTATTTTTCTTTATATAAGTAACAAAACAATCATTTAACCATTCATTTCTCATATTAAAACTTTGTCTGTTTTTAAAAAAAGTATAATATAAAGTTAAATAAACAATCATCTTTTAATTAAGTTTACTTAGCTATAATTGACATGACATGCCGTGCACACATACATATAAATTTACTAATTCACAATTACTTATTTTTTTTTAAAAAGAATAAGTTAACAAGTTACATTTAAATGCATTTTAAAAAATATTATGACTATAACATGCTAATATACTCTTTTTAAAAAAGAAGAAGATATATTTTAACAAATTGCATATATATTTGATAACTTACATTTATTTATTTTAAAAAAAAATTAAGTTAATAAACTACACTCAGAGGTATGTTTTTAAAAGAAAAATATACTTCAAAAATAATATATTGATTTTAACATTTTTTTTACAACATAAAAGACAATAAAATACTTAATTTTTAACATAATAAATAATATATTTTATTATAATATATTAAGAAAATAATTAACATAAAAAACTTAATAAAAACATTTACCCCCACTTCAACCAAGTGGCATCCGATCCTACGAACACTCTTACTTTATTGTTTTCAAAATCGAGCAAATAAAGCTCATTTATAATTTTTTTTTTGCAGTAAAATTACTGGAAATACAGATTTTTATTTTTACTTTTCATATAATTGCACGTGTCTCTGTCGGACACGACCAACTTTTGAAAACAACTAAGGACTTGCCTAACAACTTTTAATTAATTTTATCATAAAATTTAAATTTTATTTTAAATATATCTTTTATTTTACATGATTGTTATATTTAATTTTAACTGTGAATACATAAAAAGAAAAATAGAATTAACAATTAAAAGATATAATTTTTTACATAAATTAACTTTAAAAATTAATAATTATTACTTATAATTATAATTAAAAATTATAGTTTATTACTTATAATTAGGACTACCACACTAGCTTGTGCATTTTTCTGTCCTGAAATGTAGAAAATAGATGTAAATCCAAATAGACATTACAAGTCAGAATAGGGTGTTTGTACCCTTTGTCTTCATATTAAATACTCCTACACTCTCCACTAAAGACCATATTTCCTCCACAGTTGTGTGCTTCTTGCAAAGATCCATGAACACAAAATGACCATTCCACTACCTTTCATGCTTGTTATTATGCTTGCCCTTTTCTTCATATCTAAAATTTCCTCCGAAACTTACACCCTCACCCAGTTTCAGTCACTTCCCAGTGGAACCAGAACCACCTTGGTATCCAAAGATGGAACCTTCGAGTTGGGTTTCTTCAGCCCAGGTAGTTCCACAAACCGCTACCTAGGAATCTGGTTCAAAAACATCCCACTAAAAACCGTCGTTTGGGTCGCCAACCGTGACAACCCGATCAACAGCAACACTACCAAGTTAACCATAACCAAAGAAGGAAACCTGGCACTCCTCACCGAAAACGACACCGTTCACTGGTCAACAAACGCAAGAGCAAAAGCGATCAACGTCAACGTTGTAGCACAACTCTTGGATTCAGGCAACTTGGTCCTAAGAGACGAGAAAGACAACTATTCTCAAAACTTGTTGTGGCAAAGCTTCGACCATCCTTCGGACACGCTTTTACCAGGAATGAAACTAGGATGGGAAGTAACAAAGGATGTTAATCTCAACAGGTACCTCACTGCATGGAACAACTGGGAAGACCCATCTTCGAGTCTCTTCACTTATGGCTTCTCGTTAAGCAATATTCCTGAAACGCAGATATTGAATGGCTCATCAATGCTCTACAGAAGTGGCCCTTACAATGGCGTTCGATTGAGCGCTGTACCCTCGTTGAGGCACCGTCCAATGTTCAATTACGATTACGATTGCGACATGACCGACACCAACGAGTGTTATTACCAATTCAAACCCTGGAATAACTCACTGATTTCCAGAATGACCCTCAACCAAACCGTTTACGCTCTCCAGCAATTGTTTTGGGTGGAAACAACTCAAGAGTGGAACTTGTCTTCAACTATTCCGAGAGATGACTGTGACAACTACAAGCGATGTGGCGCTTTCGGGATCTGCGCCGTGATGGATAACTCTAAGTCTCCATCGTGCGAGTGCTTGAGTGGGTTTGAGCCAAAATCGCCGCAAAACTGGGTTGCGGGAAATTGGAGTGAAGGGTGCGTGCGTAGTAGCAAAAGATGGAGGTGTAGGGAGACAAACAGTGACGGTTTCGTCGTGCTGCGTAACGTGAAGGTCCCAGACACAAGAACATGTTGGATTAATAGAAGCATGACACTCGAGGAATGTAAGGTGAAGTGCTGGGAAAATTGTTCGTGTACGGCTTATGCTAACTCAGCAATCGTTGGAAAGGGAAGTGGTTGTATCCTATGGTTCGGGGATTTATTGGACATGAAACAGCTTCCGGATACAGCGCAAGATCTGTATGTTAGATTGGATATCTCCCAAATGGGTACGAGATTCTTGTTTCCCATCTCAGTGGTTTTGGTTAGACTAATATTTCTAGCCCTTATTTTAGCAAAAAACAAATTTGAGAATAAATTTGATCAATTTTGCAAAAGGGTATTTTAAGAATTAATTTAATGTAAGAAAAACTTTAAGAGGGGTGTTTGGAATATCGAAAGTTTTTACTTTTTCAGAAATCTGACTAAAGATGTAAGTTTTCACTTTTGATTTGTCTGTTATGCAAAAGACAACATTTTTAAGAAATATTATTTTTTCCGAATGATTTTTGTACAGGTTTTCAACTTTTCACGAAATATTTATGTGGAAAAAGTGGAAAATTATCTTTTCAAGATAAAAGTAAAGTTTTAATGTGATAAAAAATATTATGTTATCTTTATTTTCTTATTTAATACAATAAAAAATTTAATTCTTAATTAACATTTAAAAATACTCTTAAAAATATTTATAACTAATAAAAAAATTTTCATGATTTCTAGAGAATTATGAAAGGGTTTGTCATATACCAAACATGTTCTAAGATATTTAGTCTAATAAGAATATTCTAAAAAATAAAGCAATCTTTTTTAAACTTTGAGGGTAACACACTTGACAAAAGAAATTAATGAAACTAAACTTCTAATTTAAGCATTTTGGTTAAAGGGAACTATTATATATTTAAATATAATTTTAGTCACTTAATTATGAGATAAATTTGATTTAGCTCTTTCAAAATTAAATTTTTAAAATTTGAGTAGAAAAATTAAAATGTTTTTTTTAATAAAAATTACTAGATTAAAAATAATCAATTTTAAATTTAAAGGAGTAAAATTAAATTATCTTAAATTTGAGTCACTAACAACCTATGAGCCATTATTATATATTAAATTGATTCTGCCTCATAATGTTTTTTTTTGTCATTTTTTTCCAACTGTATTGACTATTGATAATTTATTTTGATTCGTTTCTCTGTCAAGCGAATCGAGAAGCAAAAGTTAGTTCGGCGAAAATGGTGATTATGGTCACAAGCATCATCTCATCTGTTATTACTATGCTTGTAATTTTAGCCTTCATTTACAGGAGAAGGAAAGCCAAAGGTAACATTTCTCGTCTCATTTATTCTGTTTTAAAGTCGGTTGGATTAAATTGAATTGAGTTAAGTTTATATATTTTAATCTAGATAAATATAATAAAATTGAATTGAGTTGAATTTGTATGATTTTATAAATAATCTAATTTAATTTAACTATTATTAAGTTGGATCGAAATGGATAATTGGATTGATTAATTGAAATATTAATATACTTTTAAAATTTTGAAAAATAAAAAATTAGTAATTTAAATTCTAATAATTAAATATTTCATTCTCAACTATTAATAATAAATACAATAACATGTGCGAAATGATATACTTTTCATACACTACAACACTAACAATACTATTTGGCGGTGGTGTTGGATGTCAAGATCCATTTCTTTTCGTTACATTATTCTATACTTATCGTCCTTTTTATTTATATTATATCACTCTCGTGTGATTATAATAAAGATTATATAAAATTAATTTATTTTTCCGTTGACCATCTTTTACATTGTTTTTGGATAAGAAATTACTCAAATTCCAAAATATGTATGGAAGTGCTATTACAAGCATATTTGTATAAATTACTTTATATTTACTTGTTTTCTCGTATGATCGTCTGAATGATTGATGGACGAATTTGAAATTCGTCACTTCTCGTGGTGGCAAATTATATATTAGCATTCTCATATATATATATATATATATATATATGTTTAATAACTTTATATTAAATGTGAGTTTTGTAAATTCAACTGTTAGATTAAAAGTTCTTATCACTTTATATGTTTATATCAAATTTTGTTGAAATTGAACAACAACTTGAAGGTAATCAAAATATTCATATTTTAGTATATTTTGAAATGTATATATTACATCAATTTTGTTTTATAAGAACGAAGTATCAAGTCATCTTGGATTAATATAAAATTTTGTATATATGATCTAAGAGTAAAGAACTTTCAATCTAACAGTTAGATTTACAAACTTCACATTTAATATAAAGTTATTGAGCGGTGTAATACTTAGTAAAAGTTACACATGTGTAATTATAACCATATATATATATATATATAGGAATGCTAATATACTCCCACCTATTTTTTAGTTGAAGACAAAAAATTCACTCATTTATTTTGATTTGGTTAATTTATATAAATGATATTATAGTAATTTAATTTAATTTTAAATAAAAATAAATATTTTCTCTCTCTTATTAACTTCGTTCTCTAAGTCATTTTTCTCTCCTATTAAATTTTTTCTCCAACCCATTTCTCTTTCCTATTAAATTCTTTCTCTAACTCATTTATCTCTCTCCTATTAAATTTCTTCTTTAACTCATTTCTCTCTCATCTCTCATGATGTCTTCCCTTTCTCTATGAATAAATAAAAAATTAGTTAATAGAAAAAAAAAAGAAATAAATTGGAGAATGAAGTTAATAAGAGAGAAAAAATGTTTTATTTTTTAAAATTAAATTAAATTACTATAATATCCTTTGTACAAATTAACCAAATTAAAAGAAATGAGTGGTTTTCTTGTCCTAAAATTTTGGTGCAGGTTGCTAACATACTCCAACTAAAAAATAGGTGGGAGCATATTATCATTCCTATATATATATATATATATATATATATATAAGAGAGAGAGAGGAGGGTTCAAATGACACCGGTGTAACTTTTATTAAGTGTTACACTGCTCAATAACTTTATATTAAATGTGAATTTTGTAAATCTAACCATTAGATTGAAAGTTCTTTACTCTTAGATCATATATACAAAATTTTATATTAATCCTAGATGATTTGATATTTCATTTTTATAAAACAAAATTGACGTAATATATTCATTTCAAAATATACTAAAATATGAACACTTTGATTATTTTTAAGTTGTTGTTCAATTTTAACAAACTTTGATATACACGTATAAAGTGATATGAATTTTCAATTTACACTACTAGAATTTCTCTTATTACATGCGACTTTTCTTGCGAATTTTTTTGTAAGAAATTTTGCAGGAAAAATTCCTGCAAATTTTAAAATTCGCAGGAATTTTTCCTGCAAAATTTCTTACAAAAAAATTCGCAAGAAAGTTTCTGCAAAAAAAAATTGCAGGAAACTTTCCTGCGAATATTTTCACAAGAAATTCTGCAGAAATATTTCTTACGAAAAAAATTAAAGAAATTACTATAAATAATTATTCAATTTTCAAATGTTCACAATGAATTCATTCGAAGCATTTGTTTCCATGCCTCCAACATATGATACATAATCTTTTAAATTCTAAGATTGTAGATTATAAGCCTAACACTCAACCATATAAATCAACTTGTTATTAGGTAAGTATTGTCCCAACTTATATACTTTTTAATTATTTTATTTTCAATCGATGTGGGGACTTGAATTTTTTTTAAAATATTAAACTTATAAATTTAATTTTTTTTAATTTTTCCTACGGATTAAAATTTGCAGGAAAATCGGTAGGAAAAGTTACCTGCAAATTTTTTTTACCATTTAGTAAACATTACTTGCGAATTTATTTTTGCAAGAAAATCTGCAAGAAACAAAATAAAATTCTTACAATATTTTCTGCAAATTTTTACCATGGAAAAAAATTTCATGATTATTAAAATTGTAGCAAAATTTGTAAGAAATATTTGTAAATTATTTTTCGCAAATAAATTTGCAAAAAAAATTTGCGAATATTTTTTTGCAGGAAAATTCGCAGGAAAATGACACTTTTCTAGTAGTGCTAAGAGTTGAATTTACAAAATTCATAATTATTATAAAACTATTAAGCGATGTAGTACTTAGTAAAAGTTACACCGGTATAATTATAACCCTATATATATATATATATATATATA